ACTACAAGCTTCCTAGAAATGTAGTGGAGTAAAAAGTACAATATTTGTCTTTGAAATGTAGTGGAGTAAAAGTAAAAAGTTCCCAAATAAATAACTACTCAAGTAAAGTAAAGATACTCAAAAAATGTACTTAATTACAGTAATAAAGTAAAAGTACTTTGTTACTGTCCACCACTGAATATTAGCCAAAACCAAAATGGTTCTGCTTCAGTCAATTTCACCAGTGTTGAGTTAGAAGATGCTGTGGTAGAAGCTATGACTTCTCCTCTCACTGTTTAGCCTTTGATTTTGTGTTTTTGTTGTTTTCTTTCAGCTGGTCTGAGCCCTGCAGAGATGCAGCAGATATGGAAAGAGCTCAGAGAAGATAAAACCATCCTGAAGAGTAACCAGGACTCCTGTGCTCAGAAGATCTTCTCAGAAAGAGTGAAAGGGACGCAGATCAATAAGCAGCTGTCAGAACGGTAAGATCCTCAGTCTTTGTGTAAACATCAAAGGCTCGTCATCTCCAGACATGTTGCTTCTGTCGATGTGCAGCTGTGGAGACGTTTGCTTTTCAGGCCTCGCTTTCAGTTCCCCCCCGGGACGATGTAAACTGGATTGTTGTTTTTTGTTTTTCTGCTTAGTCTTGCACCATCTGAGGAGCAAACAAAAAGTTTACATGTCCGAAATCAAAAGTGAACACTGTTCCCTGTGTTTTTTGGCTGCACTATACGGTCACGTCATGCTACCTGCAGATCTGCTGTCTTCTGTCGTCTGGCTGCTGTGGCCTTTAACGACGTTTGTTTTCCTCCTCGCTCAGCTCTGCCACAGAGGATCCAGCTGCTACACACCTGCTCTTTGCTCACAGTGTTTGTAACTGGCCAGGCTGTGAGTCAGTCTGTGAAAACCTCTGCCACTTCATCAAGTAAGTCTGACACTGTTATTTTTGAACAGAAAAAAGGTATAAACACACAGTTAAAGCCTGGAAATGGTTTGTTTAGCTCCGAGGTACTCAAGTCTTGTTTTCTCATTCTATATTCTCCACATGAACATTTTCAGATTTTCTGAGATTTATAGTTTGGTTTACATCCATAGATTTAAATAAACCTAGACTGAGCCCGGCCTTTGTTGTCCACTGTTAGCATGTGTGACAACATGGATGAAGAAAAATGGCAACCTAACAGGGCATCAGCTTGCAGTCATCATAGCATAATATATATATAAATGTATGTATGTGTGTGTAAGTAAGAATGATCTAAACCAGACCTGAATTCAGTCAATAACTTAGACTTTAGGCTATTTTAAAAATTATGAGTAAGTAAGTAAGTAAGTAAGTAAGTAAGTAAGTAAGTAAGTAAGTAAGTAAGTAAGTAAGTAAGTAAGT